TGGGAATAACAAAATTAAACAAGTACAAAAATTTTAATATCTGGGAAGTGTTTTAATAGAGTCGGAAAATGTGACATTGAAATCTGAAGGCGTATTGGGATAGTGAAAGATGCCTTGCAAAAGCTAAGATTAAGGAACATGAAAATTTCATTAGAAACAAAGAACCAAGTATATCAGTCCTCCTATATAGCAGTGAATGCTGGACAATTTCCTCACAGATAAAGAAACTTGAAGGAACAGAAATGTGCTTCTACAGAAGATATACTGAGAATAAGATGGACTGAACATAGTGTTTGCATGCTGACTATTGTCTTCATCTTTGTTGTTGTTGTCATAACGTTTCGACTGTTGTGCCCACCGGCCTTCATCAGGAATTACGAACTGAACATTTTAATTAATCTACAGGTGTAGCTTGTTCTCGTTCCGTAGAGTCTAATGTACTTCTTATCAAGTACTGCATAGTCATTGCTCTCCCGGCTTCAACTGCCTGGCGCAGTGATTTAATTCATAGTTACTAAATCAACAACTGTAAGCACCAACACTAATCCACTAGGCTGTTGTGGATTAAAGCATTGGTTCGTGAATTCAGCGATATAGTAATTGTGAGTTCAAAAGCTATACTGGGCAGTGTAGACTTGGACTCAGTGGAAACGAGGCGATCAGAAACTGAGCGGTATTATATGAAACCTAGACGAGATATCCATAGACATTGGCGGGGGAACGATCAGTCTACGCCGGTAGATTAGGACGAGATATCCCTTGACATTGGCAGTGGAATGAGTAGTCTATGCTGGTAGATTAAGACGAGATATCCATAGACATTGGCTGTGGAATGTGCAGTCTACGCCGGTAGATCAGGACGAGATATCCCTTGACATTGGCAATGGAACGTGCAGTCTACGCCGGTAGATTAAAACGAGATATCCCTTGACATTGGCAGTAAAACTAGCAGTCTACGACGGTAGATTAAGACGAGATATCTCTAGGCATTGGCAGTGGAACGTTCAGTCTACGCCGGTAGATTAAGATAAGATATCCCTTGACACTGGCAGTGAAACTAGCAGCCTACGACGGTAGATATCTCTAGACATTGGCAGTGGAACGATCAATCTATACTGGTAGATTAAATAAAAGTTTAGTTTGAAGTTCGCTGAAGGTGACCAGGATCAATGAAGGCTGAAGAGCACGAAGGCCGAAACGTTGTTATAACATCAACAAAGATGAGGAAAATAATCCGCGCATAAATAATGTAAATAATATAGGTAATTGTCAATTTGTGGACGCGTGAATTTTAGACTGAGTTCGACAGAGCGAGAAACAATGTTGAGTCTACAGCTTTTTCGGACATTCACTGATGATTTTTAGCGACTTGTATCTCCATGTGATATCTTTAATTTGATACTACTATTTGCTGAATTGTATACATTTTTCGGACTATTGTCCTCATCTTTGTCTGATAATTGACATCCATGACACGTGGAACTAGAACAGTCTACCCCAGTGAGCGAAATAAAGGGTTCAGTTCAACATTCAAACCACCTGAAGAGGGCCGGAGCGTACAACGGCCGAAACGTTGTAATAAATATGGCGACAAAGATGAGGCCAATAGTCCGAATAATGTAAATTGTGTACATAATACCTCATCTCAGAAATATAAACAGATACTGAAAGGCCGAAACGCTGTAATAAATATGGCGACAAAGATGAGGACAATAGTCCGAATAATGTAAATAGTGTACATAATAATTAATCTCAGAAATATAGACAGGTATATATTTTTATTTTCATAAGTGTTTCATTAAGACGAATCAAAATCAACAGTAAATAAATCAGTGTTATTGGTGAAAATTTATTTATTTCTCTATTGGATCATGTTATTTAAGTCATGGCAATTATGTGTGAACAATAATATCACCCAAATGTCCGCCAAGGCTTAGGCGGCACACCTCCACTCGATGGTCAAAAGTTTTGATGACGTCTCTGCATAATTTCTCCTCGATCTCACCAATATGCCTTATTATTTCATCCTTCAGCTGTTGAATTGTTGTTGGCTTGTTGGCAGAGACCTTACTTTTGAGATGACCCCAAAAGAAGAAATCTAAAGGCGTCGAGTCGCATGATCGTTGTGGCCAATTGACTTCGCTGTTTCGAGAGATGATGCAACCTGGGAACTTCTCATTCAAATTCTGTTTGAACGTCCATTTTCGTAATAGTCTTCGATAACTTTAACACGTTGTTTAATTGTTAATCTTTCCATGGTTGAAATTGCCAAAGACTTAAGTTGTTAAATTTGAAAGAAAAGGAAAAAAAATCATTAGACGCTTAAACTTAATTCACATTTAAAATCGGTCCAAGTTATTGGAACAGCCTTTATATAACATATCAACATTAATTGTTTATTCTTCATTTTACAGATTTGATAATAAACGGTGAAAAGATTGCAATTAGAGATATTTTACACCAGCTGTGGAAAAAAGGCCTGAGTGCAAGGCAGTGACAAAAGAAATTAATTATGCGGAAGTTCCAGGAACTGGCAACGAACGTTTGGCACAAAACTGGTTTAGATGTCTCAAGGAAGGTGACACCACCCTCGAAGACAAGTGATCTTCTGTTGTGGATGACGGGGTCTTCCTTGAAATGGTTGAACAACAGACAAGCGCAAACTCTCGTACATTGTAGGCAGATCTTGGTCCTTCACAAAGCACCATCAATTGACACCTGTCGACTAGTTTCTCATGAACTGACCAATGACCAGGATCAACGATGTGCGAACATTTGCAAACAACTGCAAGATGCACGTTTTGGACCTCAAAATGTAACTGGAGATGAAAGATGGATCTATTTTCGTAATTTCAATAAGTGAAATCGGAGGCTCCGTTCTGGCCAAGATTCAGAACCTGTTGTCAAACAAGGGCAGTTTGAACGGACGGTCATGTTGCGTGTTTAGTAGAATTTAGAGGGCGATGTTAAACTTTGAGCTTACCCTAAATGGTCATGACGGTTAGGCTCGACAACTGCAGCGAGTATATGATGCATTGGTCAATCAAAGACGCGCATTCTTACAGCATGACAATGTCCAAGCACCCGCTGTCAATATAACCAAACGCAGACTGGATGGGTTGGAAGTTCTGCCTCAACCTGTTTGTAGTTCAGACCTTGCGCTATCATCGTTTTTCCAGCCATGGATCATTTCCAGCGCGGACATTGTACAGCGCGGTCCGAAAGTCTTGTCACCCACGACATATAATAATTTTCTATTTCAGATGGCTGACACGAAAATGAAGGAGTTCATACAGATCTTCTAGATGTGTGACAGCAGCAATGAAAGTGAATAAACTGAATGCAATACATGTGCTTTTGATTACTGTATTACTTGTTGTTCTCATGACGTTTTTCATAAGGGGTGACAAGACTTACAGACCACCCTGTAGATCAGGTTGAAAACGGATGCAGGGAGTTTTTGACACTAAACCAAATAGTATAAGCGTGGAGTTGAGCTTCTAGCATAACGATGGCAACAGACAATAGAATATGGTGGGATATATTTTGATGAATAAAAGCGTTTCGTATATAATTTGTTTAAATTATTAAAGCTTGAAATACGGGGAAAAAAACACTATCAGCACAAACGCTCTCAAAAACACAGACAAATATTAGTTGTGGGTGGTATATTGTCACAAGATTCGTATGTGTTGGAGTTGGTTCTAATACTGTCCTACTCCAGCAGCATGTCAAGCTAGGAGTGCTTCATTTTGACCATGACACGTCCGAACATGAAGCACGGGGTACTGTATTTTCTGCTTTCCCAAGAGGGTAAAATTTTATAAAAGCATAGTTTAATGCGCAGTCTCACACGTGTACGTGAAGATAGAAAAAAATTGCTTGGTTCTTTTGAACAGCGCTGCAGAAGCGTTAGAGGAGTTCGCGATCCGACACTATAGTGTAATAGGAGCCTAGTGGTTATTCTGAGTTATTTATAAGAAAGTATTAAAATTAGAATTAATAAGAAATTACTTCTATTAGTAGTAGTAAGAATATACTACCATTAGAATTCAAGAGACGTCAAGAAAAAAGGATTTTTTTGGCGGGAAGAAAAGTAATAGATTGTTGAATTTAAAAGAGTGAACCATAAAAAGGGGGATCACGAAAAAACATAGAAAAGGAATATATATATATATATATATATATATATATATATTAAGATAGATAGATAGATAGATAGAAAAATAATACATATATATATATATATATATATATAGTTAAATTTCCACACCAATTCTGTGAACAAGAAAAATTAATAAAAGATGGCAATAAATATAATAGCTTACATTAATTGCCCAATTCCGAGTTTCATGCCGAAGCAATGTTCGGGAGCTAGAATTATAAAATTTATTTTTATAAATATTATAATTACCATCATTGAATATTGTTTCGGCATGAAAGTGAGTTGTGCAATTGATGTAACGTATCATGCATATTGCTTTATATATATATATATATATATATATATATATAACGTCGAGCACCCTTTTCTTACACTATGGAGTATTTATATGTATTTCTATACGATCGCTCGGTTATATATATATATATATATATATATATATATATATATATATATATATATATATATATATATATATATATATATATATATATATGAATAAGGAGGCACTTTGGTTTGAGGAATCGGAGAGCCGAGTTCGAATTCCAGTCGAATCCATTACATTCACTTAGGTGCTAATACCCTTGGGAAAGGTGATGATGATAATGGTGGTGGTGGTGTTGATGATGATGATGATGGTAGTGGTCTGGTGATGATGAGGAGGAGGATGATGGTGGTGGTGATAGTGGTGGTGGCGATAGTGGTGATGACGATGATAGTGAAGGCTACGAAAATAAATAAATAATCTATTGATCAAGATGGAATACGGTATTTTATTCCTTTTCAAGAAGATTCAAATCATATATATGAGGGATGAAAAGTTGAAATCCTCCTCCTATTCATCGTCATAAGAAAGAAAGAAAGAAAGAAAGAAAGAAAGAAAGAAAGAAAGAAACGAACCAATAAAGAAAGGCGACTGAAAATGCGTTGATGAGAAAGAAGTAGGTGGCAGGTCAGTGTTATAGGAAGCGAGTTGTTTGCTGCACTGATCGTCTATCTCTGTCGTAATGGCCGTCCGTTTGAATAAACCGGAAGTTGAATCGGGCGTCTGGCCGTTGACTTTTGTGCAGCAGATCAAAGATGGCAACCTACTGCTTCTCTTTTCTTCCGAATCATCTCTGAAGAGACTGCGATATCTGAAATAGAGATAATTAGACTCGCGTGAGGAAGATTAAAAAAAATAATGTAACAAAAAAAGAAAGGACAATCAAAGAAACAAGGGTATTTATTGGCTCCTTTCTGCAAATATAATTGTTCGGTTTTCGCAAAGAAAAGATAGGCATTGTAACTGTTAAAAGAAGAATCCTGGGAGAATTTTTAAAGTCGTGAAGTGCCGAGAGAGTAGATATTTGCTGGAGAGAATCAAATGGAGCCTCTAAGCGATTTAATGACTCTATTTATCACTCCTCTCTTGTTTAGACTTAGGCAATTTCGGCACTTACAAAATATTTCAAGTGGAAATGTGGGGGAATTAATCATTAAACAACGAAATACGCAATTTTCTTTAGAAAGTTTCGACACTCAATCTGTATATTATGCATGGATTGTCAGTGACCATAAATTAATGCAAGAAATATTCCGAGAATTATATATATATATATATATATATATATATATATATATATATATAGTAACTATACTGTCTCGAAAACCTTCGAATTTTTGATTTCCCAATAATCAAATCAATCACGAAAAAAAAAAGGTTTTAAAAAAAGAAAGATCTAGAAACATGAAAGTCTGTCGAAAAAAAATCGCACAGATACAGGTTTAAAGCCCAAAGAAAAAAACCCGACACGAGTAAACAACTAACTAACAAAAGAGCTCAATACAACCGTAGAGCAGACCTAGATAAACCTAGTGAGCCAGACAAACCTACCCAGGTTTCACCTAAGCGGATCGTCAGGTGAAACCTGGGTAGGTTTGTCTGACTCACTGAGTTTATATATATATATATATATATATATATATATATATATATATATATATATATATATAGAGAGAGAGAGAGAGAGAGAGAGCCCGTTGGTATAACCCAATGGCTTCTGTTACCAATTATAGGCATTTAAGAATATTTGTGGGGATTTCATAGTTAAAGCTTTCGTTTTACATAACCCATTATCAAAGTTGACAATTACATAACAATATATTAAATAATATACGGACAAAACAATAATGATAGTCTGTTTTTGTATACATAGATGATTTCGTTGCTTGGAAATTACATTATTCGGACTATTGTCCTCATCTTTGTCGCCATATTTATTACAACGTTTCGGCCGCTGTACACTCCGGCCTTCTTCAGGTGGTTGGAATGTCGAACTTAACCCTTTATTTCGCTCACTAGACACATGGCACAGTGGATAAAGGCGTTGGTTAGATCCAGTGACAGGACCCAAATAGTGTGAGTTCAATACTCGGCTAAGGCAGTGGAGAACTTGGAGAGGGGAATTAACAGGAGATAACTGATGACTGATATCCATTAAACATGGCACGTGGAACTACCCCAGTGATCGAAATAAAGGGTTAAGTTCTACATTCCAACCACCTGAAGAAGGCCGGAATGTACAACGGCCGAAACGTTGTAATAAATGTGGCGACAAATAGTCCGAATAATGTACATAATACCTCATCTCAGAAATATAGACAGATAATATTTTGTTTTGTCAAAAATCTATTTCTGGTAATATTTTTTTCTCAAAAATGTATAGCTGGAAATATTTTAAAACATGTATTGCTGGTAATATTTCTCTTTTTTTTCTTTATTTTTCCTTTTTTTTTTCTCTCCATTTTTCAAAAACGTATTGCTGTAACAGTTTTTTTCAAAAATGTATTGCTATTAATAGTTTTTTTTCTTCAAAAATTTATTTCTGATAATAATATTTTACAAAGTATTTCTGGTATTAAAACCTACTTCTACACCTTCATAATGCTTTTTACCTCAGTTTCGGGGATAACTATTTGCCCATAGCTGGGACCCTGACAGGTGCTACCACCCCGGGTCAGGGTGAACCTGCGAACACTAGCAATTAAAAGGTGGTTCCACGCTCCTCAAAAGCTCCTGATCAGAGGTCTTGCTGTTGAACGTAGTTTATCGGCATACCCAGGACGCGGATGTAGTTTATCGTCATACCCTGGACACACCTGATTAAGTTAGGCTAGCAAATAACTACATGTTGCAATGCCGAAAATTTGTATAGCAGCTGTTCAGAATGTGCAAAGACACATTGAATGTCTCAAGAACCGGTTGTGCAACCTCGATGTTACTTGATAACCAAGACACTATTTTGAATATTTTGAGAATTGGTTGTACGTCCTAAATATAATCAATCAGATTATATTTACCTTGCATCCGTACAGACTGCACAATTAGATCAGCAAAGTCACATGCAAGGTTTTGATATCAAAATACCACACTATCCATATCTTCACCCCCTTATAGCCAAAATTTTAATCACAGTGATTTCTGTTGAAAGAAGAGATTTCAATACTTGGTCGAGATTAAAGAGAACGTGACAAGATAGCTAGGGATCATCGACGAAATTTACATTTACAGACCGTTTTGTAAAGTGGAAAGGTTTGGTTTGGTTTATTTTGTTTTACGGCATATCAACCTCAATGCGTTATTTAATGCCGACAAAATCTTTTTTTGCTGGTAATATTTTGTTTTGTCAAAAATCTGTTTCTTGTAATATATTTCCTTCAAAATTGTATTGCTGGTTATAATTTTTTTCAAAAAAGTATCGCTGGTAATAGTTAACTATTTGCCCATAGCTGGGGTCCTAACAGGTGCTACCACCCCAGGTCAGGGTGGACCTGGGAGCATCAGCAAATAAGAGATGGTTACACGCTCCTCAAAAGCTCCTGATCAGAAGGCTTGCTGTTAGACGCAGTTTATCGTCTTACCCAGGACGCGGATGTAGTTTAACGTCTTACCCAGGACAATAAAGTGGAAAGGACGAAGAGTTATATGTGTGTTGTCTCGGAGTACTAACGAAGTGGACTGCGGTCCCATTGGTATTTTTTTAAGATTAAATAGCTGGATACTTTCCGGATAGTCATGGTATCTTGAGTCTCTCTCTCTCTCTCTCTCTCTCTCTCTCTCTCTCTCTCTCTCATTCTGTGGATTATTCATGAGCGAACAGTTCTTCGAAAACATGAGCTGACATTTGGGGAATACATAATGAAGAAAAAGAAAGAATTCTTGGAGAACTTGGTGTGAACACTCGCAGGGAGTACTCGGAGAGATCACACAGAGAGGACACTCGGAAGGAACACTCGGAGAGAACGCTTGCAGGGAGCAATCGGAGGGAACACTCGTAGAGAACACTCACAGGGAACACTCGGAGAGAACACTCAGTGTGAACACTCGTATAGAACGCCCGCATGGAATACCCGGAGAGAACACTCGGACAGAACACTCGCAAGGAACGCCACCATGGAACACTCGGAGAGATCACTCGGAAAGAACACTCGGATGGTACACTCGGAGAGAACACTCGGAAGGAACACTCGCAGAGAACACTAGCAGGGATCACTCGCAGAGAACACTCGGAGAGAAAACTCGGAGAGAACACTCGGAAGGAACACTCGGAGAGAACACTCGTAGAGAATACTCGGAGAGAACACTCGCAGAGAACACTCGGAGAGAACACTCGCAGAGAACATTCGCAGAAAACACTCGGAGAGAACACTCGGAAGGAACACTAGCAGGGAACACTCGGAGAGAACACTCGGAAGGGACACTCGGAGAGAACACTCGCAGGGAACACTCGGAAGGAACACTCGGAAGGAACACTGCGAAGGAACACTCGGAGAGAACACTCGCAGGGAACACTCGGAGAGAACACTCGCAAGGAATACTCGGAGGGAACACTCGCAGAAAACACTCGGAGAGAACACTCGCAAGGAACACCAGCAGGGAACACTCGGAGAGAACACTCGGAAGGAACACTCGGAGAGAACACTCGGAGAGAACACTCGCAGGGAACACTCGGAAGGAACACTCGGAGAGAACACTCACAGGGAACACTCGGAGAGAACACTCGGTGTGAACACTCGTCTAGAACGCCCACATGGAATACCCGGAGAGAACACTCGCAAGGAACACTAGCAGGGAACACTCGGAGAGATCACTCGGAAAGAACACTCGGAGGGTACACTCGGAGGAACACTCGGAAGGAACACTCGGAAAGAACACTCGCAGGGAACACTCGGAGAGAACACTCGCAGGGATCACTCGCAGAGAACACTCGGAAGGAACACTCGGAGAGAACACACGCAGAGAACACACGGAGAGAACATTCGGAGAGAACACTTGCAGGGAACACTCGGAGAGAACACTCGCAGTGAACACTCGCAGAGAACACTCGCAGAAAACACTCGGAGAGAACACTCGCAAGGAACACCAGCAGGGAACACTCGGAGAGAACACTCGGAAGGAACACTCGGAGAGAACACTCGCAGGGAACACTCGGAGAGAACACTCGGAAGGAACTCTGAAACCAAGACAAGCGGACTAACGACATTGTCTAATCTACTTGCCAAGTTTGTGCATGGCAGGACAAGTACCAGAAAGTGAGACCCTAAACGAGCAAGAATCATTTTGAGTAACAAAATAGATGAGGTTTTGAAGTGCTATGATCGCCCACGTCCTAAAAGATCATTACACACGCACACACACACCACACACACACACACACACACAATGACAGAAAACGTGAACGAAATGTGATCTCTTTCTTTTCCGCACAGTCACTTGCACTATATATTTGTGTAATCAATAGGAGTAGATAGGTTAGCCTATCACCCGGATAATACTCCTCCCCAATCTTTTGAACATGAGTTTTCCCTTGGTTTCCTGTTTAGGACTGGGTTTCTGGTTCCTTCTAAAGCCTTTTCCTTATGTAACCCTCTACCTCGAGTGGCTCTTTTGTCTTGTGTAAGATGTATATGAAAAATAAGTTTATATTTTAAAATGCCATGGAATGTTTCAGTGTTATTAACAACAATATAATCGATAGAGTTTTATAGAGTTTTAAAATGTTTCTCGCATTGTAATTTTGTTTTTGGTTCTGAACAATTTGTAAAATGATCCTTAGAGACAGAAAACTGAAAATAGCCATATAAATCATTTGAAAATTAGTTTGAGACAAGATTGAAAATTAAAACAAGTGGCGACATTTGACAGAAGCATTCAATACTTGATTGATGAAGAAGATTTAGAGAAGGGGAATTTTTTTATGATAAATAAAGAAGAATATGTAGAGGAAGAAGTAGAGACAAAAAGAAAAAGAAAGATATGAATGGTTGTAAGAAAAGGAGATGTCGAAAGGAGGAGAAATGGATGGAAAGAAGTGAGAAAGACGAATGAGTGAGAAAGAAACAAAAGAAAAAGAAAGAAGCATTTGAATGACGCAAAGAAAGAAAAAGAGAAAGAAAGAAAAAAGAAAAGAAGAGAATGAAAATCTGTGATTAGGGAATAAAAAGAAACAATTATTTGAAAGTTTTAAATAAACGTACAAAAAAACAAATTCTGAAGAAAGAAAGAAAGAAAGAAAGAAAGAAAGAAAGAAAGAAAGAAAGAAAGAAATCTTTGTGTGCTAAGGGAATAAAAAGGAAAGAAATGCCTTTTGGAAAGTTTCGAATAAACAAACTAAAATTCTGAAAGAAAGAAAGAAAGAAAGAAAGAAAGAAAGAAAGAAAGAAAGAAAAGAAATGCAAAAAAAGAAAGAAAGAAAGAAAGAAAGAAAGAAAGAAAGAAAGAAAGAAAGAAAGAAATCTTTGTGTGGTAAGAGAATAAAAAGGAAAGAAATGCCTCTTGGAAAGTTTCAAATAAACAAACTAAAATTCTAAAAGAAAGAAAGAAAGAAAGAAAGAAAGACGGAAGGAAGGAAGGAATGAAGGAAGGAAATCTTTGTGTGTAAGGGAATAAAAAGGAAAGAAATGCTTCTTTGAAAGTTTCAAATAAACAAACTAAAATTCTAAAAGAAAGAAAGAAAGAAAAAAAGAAAGAAAGAAAGAAAGAAAGAAAGAAAGACGGAAGGAAGGAAGGAATGAAGGAAGGAAATCTTTGTGTGTAAGGGAATAAAAAGGAAAGAAATGCTTCTTTGAAAGTTTCAAATAAACAAACTAAAATTCTAAAAGAAAGAAAGAAAGAAAGAAAGGAAGGAAGAAAGAAAGAAAGAAAGAAAGAAAGAAAGAAAGAAAGAAAGAAAGCAACTGTTCCCAAAGAAACAAAGCAAACAAAGAAGGAGAATAATAAGAGAAGAAACTTAAAAAATAAAAGAAAGAAATTAAGAAAGATGGGGACAAAATGTCAGAAGGATTCGAAGAAAGAAAAAGTGACAATAAAAGCTGATAAAGGACGGGACTATGGAATTGACGAAATATAAAAGGAATGGAAATAAAGAATTATGGTAAAAATGGGAAAATAAAAAGTATTCAAAACATTCTCGTACTAAAAGAAAAGCTTTCATCATTAACTCTTGTTATAATTTGTTAGAATTATTTAGACGTTTTGGTTTTTTTTTCTTCCTGCTCTTAAATCTAAATTCTAAAACCTTCATCATTTCTTTTTTCTCTTTTCAATACCCCCATCCCGGAATATATACCCAGGTCGATTTTGAAATCACTTCTGGCCGAATAACATTTCTCGCTTTTGTCTTTTACAAATCTGTTTCTTTACAAGTAAAAAAGAAAAAAATGAAAAGTGTTATTAGATCCTATAAAAAATGATTGATGCGAAATACTACTCGATTGTTGTTTCCAGTGACTTTCCTTTGACCCACCAACGCTGTTCTGCCAATGGTGCATTGCCATTACGTACAAAATTGATTGAAAAAAAAAACAAGAATTTTATTGTCAGCAAATATTTTCAGGTGTTTACTAAAGAAAAAGCTACGCCCTCAAAAATCTATGAACTCTAAGGAAATTTCACTGAGAACTTTTGGTTGGTTTTGTTTAGCGGCATATCAATTTCTATGGGTTGTTTAATGACAAAATCTAAATATTTTGAACATAATTTTATACTTTCATGGTAAATGGTACGTTCTTTAAATATATAGTTCGTAGTTCAGAAAAAATGTATCGCTGTTAATTTCACTACAAAAATGCACTGTTGGCATTTTTCTACTATAAAAATGCATTGTTATTCATTTTGCTATAAAAACGTATTGTTGGTCATTTTACTATAAAAATGTATTGTTGGTCATTTTACTATAAAAATGTACTGTTGGTCATTTTACTATTAAAATGTATTGTTGGTCATTTTACTATAAAATGTATTGTTGGTCATTTTACTATAAAAACGTATTGTGAGTCATTTTACTATAAAAATGTATTGTAGGTCATTTTACTATAAAAATGTATTGTTGGTTATTTTACTATAAAAATGTACTGTTGGTCATTTTACTATAAAAATGCACTTTTGGTCATTTTACTATAAATATGTACTGTTGTTCATTTTACTATAAAAATATGTTGTTGGTCATTTTACTATAAAAGTATATTGTTGGTCATTTTACTATAGAAATGCACTGTTGGTCATTTTACTATAAATATGTACTGTTGGTCATTTTACTATAAAAATGTATTGTTGGTCATTTTACTATAAACATATATTGTGCGTCATTTTACTATAAAAATGTATTGTCCATCATTTTACTATAAAAATGTATTCTTGATCATTTTGCATATAAAAATGTATTGTTGGTCATTTTACTATAAAAATGTTGGTCATTTTACTATAAAATGTATTGTTGGTCATTTTACTATAACAATATATTGTTCATCATTTTGCTATAAAAACGTATTGTTGGTCTTTTTACTATAAAAATTTACTTTTGGTATTTATTTGTGGGTTCTTTTTTTGCTCATAGCTTGGATCCTAAAACCAGCTACCACCCCGGGTCACGATGGACCTGGGAACAATAGCAATTAAGAGCTTTCACTTCAAGCTATATAAATGAGTCTTAATTCATACATTCCATGATTTAATTTTAACACAATTAAAGATATTCAGTATTGAACCACAGCCATTCATGTTTCAGCTGCTCTTTCTGCTTTTTTTTGCTGAAATTCACCCAATACAGGGCTCAAGAGCTACTCAAATTAGTCTTTGATTCATTGATTAGATTTTTACGGCTTATCAACCCTTTGCGAGTTATTTAAAGCCAAAACATATTTTTGGATTGCAAGAATAATTTTCTTTTGTTGCGAGGGAATATTGCATTAAAAATTTACTATAACTATGATTATTCCAAATCTTCTTCTATGTGCCGTGTCCCTTCAGGACGTTGACGATTATAGCTCTCCACAATTTCCTGTCTTTTGTAGCTCTAAATAACTTTTGTCTTTTTTGCCATTCTTGCCAGACCTACTCCGCCATTTATTCGATCAAGCTCGCCAGGTAAGTTCTGAGTTGCTTTACTCTGTCCTGTGAGTATCAAATTTCCCAAGCCCTCTTTCCGCATTATGTGCCCCAGTAATTTCAATCTTCGCTTCCTGAAGTTAACTATAAGTTTCCCATTTGTTACCATTATCTCCAGAACTTTGCCTGTGGTCACGTGTCCTAACATAGTATTCTCAGAATTCTTTTGTAGAATCGCATTTGTGTTGCTTCAAATCTCTTCTTCATCTGTCAGGAGATTGTCCAGATACAAGTCCTGATATTTGATATTTGAGTCAAGAGTTGCGCGACGGTTCGGTTCAACTCTCTGCTTTCTTTCAGGCGGGAGGAACCCGAAGGAGGCTACGCCGAAGGGCGGAATCTCCTTCGGGGAGGTAGACCGGCCCTGAACCCGTTTATACGGGTTCAATGGGTATATTTTTGGCCGAGCCCGCGGGCTCGGAGTGCCCACGTTAAACCGGCCTTGTGCCACATGACACCCTCGTGGGGGGACGACTAAATATAGTCCTGATATTTAACCCATAGCTGGGAAGAGGTGATGGATTCAAACCTTTCCCAAGGGTATTTTCGCGAAAATGAATGTAACGAACCCGACTGGAATTCGAACTCGCCACTCCGATTTCTCATTCAGAGCCGCTATCTATTGCACCACCCGCACATCTGCAGCTTATGCAGGTAAAAGATCTAATTCACTGTAATATTAATAGATATTAACTAAGCACGGAACATAGACACAAAAATGGGAATTCGAACTACCACTCACGGCGGAGTATTAATCACTAAGGTTGTTCTATGTGTATGGAAGGGGGGGTATAAGTGAAGATTATGTGGGTAGGTACAGCTAATCCTAGACCTGACGCGTTTAACTAAACATCTCTTCGGGGAGTCTGTTCCATAAATTAGCGGCTCTTGGGGAGAATGGATCTTCTTATTGCAAATGGAATACGAAGCGGGGGCGAGAATGGTTCACCGCTGTGCCTTAGCTGTAAAGGTCTGAACTGGTGGAACTCGCTAATGTTACACGTCAGAACATTTTCCATGGAACTAGTGATAGGATAGCAAGGGGCTTACGATCCTGCATGTATGGTGGGGGAAACAATTCATCACCTACAAGGCCGCGTAAACACTTTTGAACTCTATCAAGGCTAAAAAAATGGCTCTCTTTTTAACTTTATTTCTAGCCTCTTTCTGTAATAATGCTCCATGTTTTCTAGCCTTCTTTCTGTAACAATGTTCCGTTTTTGAAACCTTTTAATACCAGTTTTGTGAAAGTAATTTCAGATCATTCTCTAAAGAGACAAATACGTGTTATCAATGGTGTTGAAAAAATGGCTATTATATATTATAGATTTATAGATTCCACTAGATCCACGTCGTATCGATTAATAACGATTTTCATAAGCTGTTATCCGTTGTCTGTTATCCGTCGTGTCGATTAATAACGATTTTCATAAGCTGTTATCCGTTGTCTAGCCTTTTGGGATTTTAATCTATTCTTCTCATTCGAGACGTAACATAACCTTCTACCTAAGAACTCACAGGCACATACACATACATAGATATAAACCGGGCCAAGGAATGGCTTGTTTACTGAGGCAAGGAATGGCTTGTTTACTGAGGCAAGGAATGGCTTGTTTACTGAGGCAAGGGATAGTTTGTTTACTGAGGCAAAGAATGGTGTGTTAACTTTAATGCCTCCAAAACGAAACCTTTGTCTTTTAATAGTCTGAGAAAACCGTTTTTATCTTCCATCAGTATGGCCGATGCTAACCTCCTCGCGTTTTCTTGGACTTACGTTTTCCTCTAACATGAAGTGGAAAGATTATATTGAATCAATTGCTAGATCCGCTGCTAGGAAAGATGGTTCCCTTTGCCATGCTAGACAATTATTCTTGCCCGAATCTATCTTACATAATTATAAGTCTACCATTCGTTCATGCTTTGAATATTGCTGCTAAATCTGGTCTGGCGCGTCTGTTGTTTTTCTAGAGATTCTTGATAAAACACAAAAAAAATCTGCAATGTTATTGGTCCTAGCCTGGCGTCTCGGCTGCCGTCACTTTCCCATCGTCATAATGTAGTTTCCCTGTGCCTTTTCTATAAATACGTTTATGACAAATTTTCTGGTAAATTCTCCTCCATGAAACCTAGATTCTATGAATTTAAGGGCATTACTTGATTGGCTGCAAGATCTCATTATTTTACAGTTGAAATGGCTTGATGTAACCGTAAGTTCTATGCTAATATTTTCTTCTCTCTCACTTCTCGTTTGTGGACATGTCTTTCGGCTTCTTGCTTTTCGAGTCAATTTTGATCTTCAAAAATGTAAATGCAATGTTAATCGTCCTCTAGTGTTTTCTTAATATTTCTTCTTTCTTCTATTCTCCTTAAAACTTTTTTTTTCTTTTTCATATTCTCTAACACTCCGTAAAATTGCTTGCGTCTTGGTGGCTTTATTGCTTTGCTTGGGATGAAATTATTTTAAAAAAAGAAAAGAAAAGATAATACAGACAAAGGAAATGCTTCAATGTGATCTTGTTCCGAAGATTGCATTCAAATGTGAGAGACACCATCCAGTGTTGATTTCAATGTCCACACAGTGCATATCTATAAACACTCCGATATTGGACACACTTTCCTTATAAATATCACCATCGTTGTCAGCCCCATGACTGGCTGTGGTCGTAGGGTCGCTGAGCACCTGACCAGTTACCACCACATATTGAAAACCCTAGAGTTATTCATTCATTAGCATCCATTCAATAGCATTCGTTCTTTCACTAGCATTCATTCATTAGCATTCATTCATTCATTAGCATTCATTCATTCATTAGCATTCATTCATTCATTCATCAGCATTCCTTAGTATTCATTCAGTAGCATTCATTCAATAACATTCATTCTTTCACTAGCATTCATTCATTAGCATTCATTCATTCATTAGCATTCATTCATCAGCATTCCTTAGTATTCATTCAGTAGCATTCATTCAATAACATTCATTCTTTCACTAGCATTTATTCATTAGGATTCGAAACAAACAAATAAAACTTTAACTTTTTTAGATAGTATCTTACATCACACTGACATGTGTGTGTGCGTGTGTGTATTTTATTACTAATGTGCAAAGATTTATAAAAGCGTGTTTGTATGGGCAATCGTGGTATGTCATTTGAAATATATATAAACAAGTGTAGATAGATAGATAGATAGATAGATAGATAGATAGATAGATATGAACAGACTGTGATAGATAGATAGATAGATAGATATGAACAGACTGAGATAGATAGATAGATAGATAGATAGATAGATAGATAGATAGATATGAACAGATTGAGATAGATTATACCAACATGGGAATTTTTAATTTTAATTTGATTTTTTTCCTGTAATGTTAGCAAAACCATATATATATATCAATATTAATTTATTTGTCCATCTAACGCATTAACATGAACCAATTCGTATTGTATACAAATAAAGAAAAATTGCCTGAAAATAAATATATTTATTTGCAATTTCCTATTACCAATGGGCAAATATACTAAAAGAAAAAGAACATATTTTTGAGAGCCCTTTTAAAGCCAACGACTTCTTTTTTGTGTATTCCCTCTTTGCTGCTTTTCTTCTTTTTTTTTTTTTCCCTGTTTATTTTTTAAATAATTAACTAGCAGGTGATGACCAAAAAGACTGGCTTGACAACGAAAAGTCGTCGTCGTCCTCCGGTGAAAGTGAACGAAAAATAGCATGAGACACGGCTCAGTGGTTGACTGGGAAAGCATGAAATTAAAAACATCTCCCAAGCCAAATAGCAAAATGTTTTCGATCGGAGAATGAATCTTGCAAAATTAATTCAATCTTTCAAAAAATCTCACAGGAGTACTTTCTTTTTCTTTTTTTTTTTTCCTTTTTAAGAATAGATTATTTATGTTGTTGCAGTTGTTGACATCAGTGTTGATATGGATATTAACTCACCTTAACTAAGTCTGGCACAAGGCCGCAAATGTAGAGCACCAGTTGTGAGTAGAAGTAAATATATTAGTTATAGTTATTTACTTACCTTATTGTAGTCTGGCACAAGGCTGCAAATAAAGAGCACCAGTTGTGAGTAGAAGTTAATATATTAGTTATAGTTATTTACTTACCTTATTGTAGTCTAGCACAAGGCTGCAAATAAAGAGCACTGCTTTAGGAGCTGAATATAATACATTAATAACATACACCTTATCTTAATCTGACACAAGGCTGCAAATGTAGAGCACCATTTGGAATCGAAGTTAATATATTAGTTATAGTTATTTACTTACCTTCTCGTAATCTGGCACAAGGCTGCAAATAAAGAGCACTATTTAGGAGTTTAACACAATATATTAGTAGCACAAACCTTATCTTAACCTGACGCAGGGCTGTAAATGTAGAGCACCAGTGTGGAATCGAAGTTTAATATATTAGTAATAGTTATTTACTTAGCTATTCTTAGTCTGGCACAAGTCTGCAAATAAAGAGCACTATTTATGAATTGAATATAATATATTAGTAACACTCACCTTATCATAATCTGACACACGGTCCCAAATGTAGAGCACTCTTTGGAGATCGACGTTAATATTTACTCAAATTAGCTTAGGTTGGCACAAGACTATAAACGAAGGGCACTATTTAGAGGTCGAACATAATATATATTAATAATAGGTATTTCCTCCCCTAAATTTAATCTAGCACAAGGCCCCAAATGCAGAGCACTCTTTGGAGATCGAGATTAATATATTGTTTGGATGGGGCACCATCGGACTACGGTCGGAGCTCTTATTTTGCAATCACCAGTAATGAGGCAAATATACGAAGCCAGATATATCTGTCATGACTCTGTCGAGCCTGGTCAGTACCTAGATCGGTGGCCGCTTGAGAATACTAGGTCCTGTAAGTTTGGGTGTGCGGGTGGTGTAATGGATAATGACCCCGCAATTCTTAATCGGAGAACAGAGTTCGAATTCCAGTCAGGTTCGTTATATTCACTCACGTGCAAATACTCTTGGGAAAGATATGAATCCAGCTCTTGGGTAAATTAGTAAGACTTGTGTCACTAAACCATTATTATTTCCAAAAATAAAATGAAATAAACCTGTGTGCAAAAAATGTTTTGATTTCGGCATTAAATAACCCTTAGAGTTTGATACGCTGCTAAATAAGAACAACCAGTCAACTCTGATATATATTGTATATATACTCTGTATATATTACACACGTATAACAGCCAAGTATGCACTATATAGAGACAGGTTTTGATAATAAAAAAGCGAATTAAGTTACAGTTAGAAATAGCTTCTGATTGAGTAATCCAGCCCACTCGGATTTTTCTTGACTAAGGCTGTCTCCTAGTACCTCCCTAGTTCTTCAAACTAAAAAAAATACAACCCTTTCGATATCTGAACTTCATGCAACACATTACATTAGGCATTAGACAACTGGCATGCAATCCTTTGGCATTGAATGAGATATTCATTTGTTTGAATTTCTGGGGTGAGGCGTTATCATTACTTATACTATTTACATAAATAATGTCCTCTCTGTTTACGAACCTCCCCACAAGACAAAATGTAGCACAAGGCCAGTTTTTTGTTTTTTTTTAACGTGGGATGTTCCGAGCTCGTAGACGCGAACAAAAACCGCCCGTATACCCCGTATACACGGGGTTGGGTTTGACTACTTCCCCAGATGAGACTCTGCCCTTCGGCATAGCCTCCTGGAGGCAGAGAGTTCGACAAGCACTAAAAGCAGCTAAAACCTAATGCTAACTCAGTATTTACCCGAGCTCCTAACAGAGCAGGATGTAGCACAAGGCCATTTTAACGTGGGTTTATTCCCCCGTAGACTCTGTAATAACGGGGTCGGGTTTGTCTACATCCCCAGACGAGACTTTGCCGTTTGGCATAGCCTCGTCTGGGTTCCTCTCCGCCTGGAGGCAGAGAGTTCGACAAAAGAGGAAAAGAAAGAGAAAGCCTCATCATTATCATCATCTTTGTCGTTGTTATCACAACATTGCGGCAATTCATCAGGTGTATATCGACCTGGTTAATCTTCAGGGAATTCTGCACTGAATCTTTTGTTTAATCTACGTGGATAGATGTTCTTATTTTTAGTATTGCTCAGTTATTGCTCGCTCGTTTCCACTAGGTCCACACACTACCCCGCCAGCGATTGAACTCGCAATTACTATATCACCAAATTTACGAACCAATACTTTAATCCTGCAGGACAATTCTCTGTAGTTCAATTGGAGTCTTAAACCTAACCTGCCTGCTGATTATTTTTTATGTTGCTACTCCTAATGTAACCTATCTTAATACATCAATGAATGGGTTAAGATGTGAGTGTTTTATAAACACTCACATCTTAACCCTTTCATTCAGTTAAGATCAGAAGCCAGGAGAACCATGTCTCAGTCAGTCAGTTATATCCTGCTATTTACCCATAGAAGAATCGGATTCATTCCTTTCCCAAGGGTATTAGTACATAAGTGAATATAACAGATTCGACTGGAATTCGAACTCGGCTTTCCGATCCCTCAATCCAAGCCGCTATTCAGTCAGTTATGTGCCATGCGTGATAGGCGATCATGTATCCTTCCTTTTCTCGCAGTAGGTTGCCATTTCTTTCTACGGTAGACCAGATGCCATCCAAGGCTATAGAACTCGGTCTGTCCTGCTATTTATCCATAGCTGGAGAGAGAAGAGGATTCATACCTTTCCCAAGGGTATTAGCATGTAAGTGAATGTAATGGATTTGTCTGGAATTTGAACTCTCCCATTCCTCAATCCGAGCCGCTACCCATTACTCTACCGATGCTTAATCTTGCATAAAGGCATTTTTTATTATAATGATTTTAATCTTTGATGCTGTTTACAATTGTTGAATACTTCGTGTGCTGCAGCACTCACAAGAGATCAAGTGACAGTAAGTCTCCTAAGTACTCCAGCACCTTCCCCAGTAATCTTAGTGATTTTAGTAATACTGTCGAATTTTCACACCTTTATTAAATGGTGACTTTTACTGAAGATCAAGCGACCGCAAATATCCTGAGTACTCTAGAACCCTCCTCAGTATTCTTGCTGGTTTTAGCAAGGCTGCCGTTTGGATGGCTTCAATCTGACCTCATATTTCAATTTTTTTCTACCTTTGGTTGCAACTCTCTTCAAAACTGTTCGATAATGATGGTTACAATCGCCATTTTGCTATGTTGCTTTTCTAATTGTAGTCCCCAAGCAAGATCCTGTTATTTACACAGATTCTTTTTTTTCTGTTTCACTCTACGATGAAAGTCATCATCAAGATCTGAGAGGTTGAACACGGCCACAATGTGCTGACTATGTTCGGGAAATAAAACATTTCTTGTGCTAAAAAAAAATCAATCTATTGAGAAAAACGAAAAACATCCTTGATAATGACTAATAGATTATCCGAAAGGGCTCGGATCCAAAGATCATGTGGACAGTTCTTACACGCTCCGCCCAAATTTCTTATACGCATGCTACAAAAATAGAATGAAAAGATTAATCACAGTACCTTTCCAATGAAACATATATAAAAAGAAGGATTTCTGCAAAAAAATACTATAATATATATATATATATATATATATATATATATATATATATATATATATATATAGTTTTAAGGTGTGCTATATTTATGGGATAAAGTGTTCAATATCAGAGATAGAGCGTATGTAAATATAAATATAGAAGTAAACATTGAAGTCAACACTCAGAGGCGACAGGCTGTTTCATGCTTGGCGCAATCGTCAGATGACCTGACGATCACGCCTAACATGAAACAGCCTTCAATGACTTCAATGTTTACTTTTATATTTATAGTTTATATATATATATATATATGTGTGTGTGTGTGTGTATATATGTGTGTGTGTGTGTATATATATATATATATATATATATATATATATATATATATATATATGTGTGTTCTTATTATTTGTGCGTGTAAGGTCTAAGGAATTAGCCAATAACAGTTGCATAACCAAAAAACGAAATCCTTGTAAATTAATGTACCAACATTCGAATGTACTCGGGAAAAAATTAAAATTGAGAATTGAAAAGTTAATAAAAAAATTCCATATATATAACTTGTCGATTTTATCCAACCAAACATTGAAAGAATTCTTATTGCCTAAATACACCTCATATATATATATATATATATATATGTGTGTGTGTGTGTGTGTGTGTGTGTGTGTGTCTTTATGTATGTGTGTGTGTGTGTGTGTGTGTTAAGTCAAGTTTATGTCCAGCTAATTTACAAGAGTTATCGATACCTTGTAACCCGGTATCACGTGCCGGTTATCAGTGACTAATCAGTGATTAAAGTGGCAACATATCCAGCTGAATGA